TATATATATATATATATATTATTTTATTTTTTTGGCAAACCCATAGAGAATCTTATTAATTCAAATAAAGGATATAGCGGCGGGCTGGTGGTTCCTGCTAAAACCAAAAATACAGCTCACACAAAAGAGAACCTAAGGAAATCATCACCGAGATTACTACACAAAAAAAAGTTTTCAAAGAAGCACAAATATGAAAACCAAAAGAACCAGTTAAAACTTAGTGATGGCATCTAATGTATGGAAGAGTGAAGGAGTCCCATGTAGCAAGAGTTTGAGAGAGGAGGGACCATATCCATAACCACATCTTCGATCGTAGCACCATGCTTAGCAAACCAATTTACAAGTTGATTTCCTTCTCTTGGGATATGGCTCCACACAATATTTAGAGATTGCATACTAGCTTTAATACTTTTAACACATAACACGATATTTTAGGAAATTAGTTTTAGCCCCGACAAGATATTTGTAAAATCAAGAGAGTCATATTCAACGTATAAATATTTCCAATTAAACAAAAGAGCAATATTAATAGCTAACCATACTATCCAAACCTCCGCCTCAATAGCACAAGAAGCAGCACAAGGAAAGTGAAAATACAGAGACATTTACCTTCAGGGTTATGAAAAATACCTCCAACACCAGCAGAGAAACCAAACCAACTGCCATTCATATTAATTTTAATCCAAGGGTATAATTGGTTTCCTCCAAACTACTTGTTGCACTAAAAAAACCCTACTACTAATAAGATCTTTAAAACCGTTAAAATAAAAAAATTGCAGTAAAATAAGAAGAACTAACATTCCCATAGCACATAATCTTATTAATATAAGACATAATATTCGTGATGACTTTCTCCCCCTTCATCACAATCTCTTCATTTTTATTGTGTTTCTAGCCATCCATATGAACAACATTGATAAATAAGGGACTACTCCATAATATGCCTAGAAAGGTTTCTATATTTCCAAATCAGCAAGCACTGTTGGAAATTAGACAACTCAGTAGTAGGTGATTGTACACATCCTCCAACACCTTCCAAATGAATTTAGAGTAACTGCAAGAGAAAAAACATGGTTAAAACACTCCTCCTCTAACTCACACAAATGGTTGTGAGAAGAGAGTCTTAACCCTTTCAATTTTAATGCATCATCCAACGACAACATCAAATGATAACACATCCAATCAAAGAATGACATGGAAGGTGATAATAACTTACAATAAATAGCCTTAACTCGATCAATATTTACCAAGATGTGTAGTTTAGCATAAATAGTTATAGTAATAAAGAAGAAATTTTGACATTTCGTAATCAATGAATCTTTCTGAGATTTTTCAATTAGGATCTTGGAGATAGTATATGTGGTGTCAGAACCCACCCAATGATTCGGTGGATTCATATTCCAACAATTATCAAGCCAACAATGAACAAATTTAATATCATTCTTGATAGCCACCTCAACATCCATATGATGAAGGTTCTCCATAAACTGGTTATCCCTCCAAAAAGAAACATTACCTTCTCCAAGATTCCAACAGAAAAATTACTCGGCCGATTCATGAGCTTTCAATTTTTTCTAAATTGGACTACTATATTTCTATATAAAAATTTTATCAACTCCTAAAGAAACTCATTACATCATCTACTTATTTAGTTTTAAGAGATTGAAGTGTCACTTAAGGACAAGTAACATTTTAAGTTTGGGGGATTTTGATACACCTAAAATATATAGTATTTTTATACACAATTTTATACCTATTTATTAGATATTGCACTTTAATGAAAGGTATTTGTGTGTTTTTCTTTCAGGTACAATCAAATGGATGAAGAATGCCAAAATGAGTGAAAAAAGGTCAAATTTGCAGCAAAAATGATGAAGATGCAAAACTGAACTAGGCCGCCTAAGCATCCAGGACTAGCACCTAAGCGCCAGTTATTCAGAAAGAGCCGCACCTAAGTACCAGGTACCCCGCGCTTAAGTGCCAAAAGTAGTTATTTGATGATTTATTGAATTTTAATGAATTTTTGAAGAGGTGTTTGAAGCAACCCTTGGTAAAAACATGGGAAATAGTCCATGGACGTGAAAATTCATTCAATTGGCTATTGAAAGGAGGAACTTCTAGAAGATTCATTGAATGGATACACATTTGAAAAGACACCAAGGCACCTTTTGGATTTTCATAAAAACTTGGATCACCAAAGAAGAGAGGCCAACCATTAGACATCCACAACCACCATTAATTGCCGCCGCCGCCGCCGACCACTTTCTTTTTATTTTGAGGGTTAGTTTGTATTGTGAGTGAAGAAAGAGATTTCAAAGGAACTTCATGACATTTGGTTGATAGGTTTTGAGATAATTGTTTTTCTTTATGACTACATTAAGTTTTAATTTAGATTTCTTGTCTGTGTGTGTGATTTCTACTTTTAAACTCATGTGTGATTTTATTTTCTCCATGGATTATGAGTAGTTTTCTTTATCTTTTGTCCTTAAAATGATAAGTGATTAAGTATTTAAAGGAAGTTGTGTGAAGTTGTAGACTTCAATGTTAGAAGAAGTTGTGATGATTTGAA